AACAATATGGGAGGCTGAGTGTTCTCTTCAAGGTCAAGGAGGAGCATGAAAGAAGAGGATAAGGGCTGTGAGCAAGTGCAAATGTCATTGTAGTCTTAACCGAAAATAAACTTAAACATTGCAGATATGGCACAATCCAAACCGTAGAAGATTCTGGTACATGGGTTAAAAGCATGGTATAACCGTGTAGGATCCCAATCTGGTAGAGGCTCTTGGTCCTTTGTCTTTATGAGGAAGCCCCTGACTGATTGATGCACTATTGCAGTTCACCGCCTGTCCTTCCATGAATTTTATTCACATAGGTTTTTCAAGGTTTTTGAGAAGAGTTGAGATGTAAAAAGAATTATGGGAACTCAGATGCAGTTTGAAATCTATATAGAAAGTGCTTTTACTGATGAGTTTGATTCCCAAAAGGCAGCAAGGCACCAGTTGAGATCAAGTTCCAAAAAGAAAAATTGTGTTAGAAGAGGTTTCCTGATTGGGAACGTCAGATCTTCAAGCTCCATCACTTTTCCCTGGATCATGATGTTTTTAGGCTCATTCCTTTTGTTTTGGTAGTAACTATGAACTTAGAAGTTGGAATTGAATTTCAGAAAGTCTGCCTTGATTGTAATATCTTGAGTCATTCGGTTCCATAAAGGGCATGTTCATGATATTATAGAAATCCTCCTATGAAAATAAGATTGCTCGAGTTCTATTTTTGTTGCTCCTCTTCTTGGATGCTCAAGACCAAAAGCATTAGTTAAAGGAGGTATTAATACGTAATATTGATTTTGCAAGCATAGTTCTTAGGTGTGTATTTTAGTGAAGGATCCTATTTCATCCAATGAAACAAACGCTAACAGTTAGTTCTTTTCCATGTGGAATTTTTTACATTTCGCACTTCATCGCATGCACATTGCCTTTCCTTAACTGGTATGTCAATTTTCTATTATGTATGAACTTATTGATGTGTACGAGTGCATATCGTGTATTGGGGAAATAAACAAAAAAGCAGACAGAAATGAAATAATGTATGAAATTTCCATTCTTTCTTTATGTAATTTTCATATTAAATGATGAAGAAAATTCTAGAGGAAGACAGAGTAGTCAATGAAATAATATATGGAATTTCCGCTCTTTCTTTATGTAATTTTCATTTTAAATGATGAAGAAAATTCTAGAGGTAGACTTATTAGAAAAGGATATACATGTGCTCATAAATGAAAAAGGAAAATACATGTCCTCCTCTGTTCTGAGGAGTGGGACAAAGGTGGGTGTTCATAAGACTTGACGAAGGCTTTTACCAATCAATCAATGAACATTAGAGGAAGACTTTTACCAATCAAACGATATAGACTAGAGGAAGACTTAAATACCAATCAATGGCTCTTTTTTTGATTGGGGGAACGTGTGTCTGGGTTTTAAAACTCATTGGAGAAAGACTAGAGGATTGTACCACATCATGTGGTAGATAATGTATCAATTTGCAAATAACTGTAGTAGCAAGTGGACTATACCAGCCACCTACAGCTTTAAGCCTGATCATTCAGATAATGCTTGCATCCTCTTTTTTATCGCCCCTGCTAGCACAAAGAAAACCAATGCTTTTGTTGCCTCTTCTACCTCCACAAGGCATTGCTCTGTCGGGGTTTCTTCCATTGCGGAGAATTCCCCATTACTGCCTTCGGAAGGTGTATGGGCTGTGTCATAGAAATGAAATAGTGTATAGAATTTCCATTCTTTCTTTATGTAATTTTCATATTAAATGATGAAGAAAATTCCAGAGGAAGACAGATTTGTTAATGAAATAATGTATGGAATTTCCGCTCTTTCTTTATATAATTTTCATATTAAATGATGAAGTAAATTTTAATGGAAGACAGATTAGTCAATGAAATAATGTATGGAATTTCCGCTCTTTCTTTGTGTAATTTTCATATTAAATGATGAAGAAAATGCTAGAGGTAGACTTATCAGAAAAGGATATACATGTGCTTATAAGTGAAAAAGGAAAATACATGTCCTCCTCCTTTGTTCTGTGGAGCGGGACAAAGGTGGGTGTTCATAAGACTTGACGAAGGCTTTTACCAATCAATCAATGAAAACTAGAGGAAGACTTTTACCAATCAATCAATGAAGACTAGAGGAAGACTTAAATACTAATGAATGGCTCCTTTTTGGGTTGGGGGAACGTGTTTCTGGGTGTTAAAACTCATTGGAGAAAGACTAGAGGGCTATACCACATCATGTGGTAGATAATGTGTCAATTTGCAAATAACTTTAGCAGCAAGTGGACTATACCAGCCACCTACAGCCTTAAGCCTGATCATTCAGATAATGCTTGCATCCTCTTTTTTATCGCTGCTACTAGCAGAAAGAAAGCCAATGCTTTCGTTGCCTCTTCTACCTCCACGTGGCATTGCTCTGTCGGGGTTTCTCCCATTGCGGAGAATTCCCCACTACTGCCTTCGGTAGGAGTATGGGCTGTGTCTGGGTTGGTGCGGTTGATCTTCCTAATTGCTTTAGTTAGCTTTGCCTTACCAACTACCTAATCAGACACAAGGCCCCTCCTCGGAGGGAAAGTTAATAGCATAACTATATAAGACTTTCACCAGCTATCAATATGATTGTGTGTTAAACCCCTTTCAACCTTAACCCTAGAATTACACAGAGTAATATGTATTCTTCATTGAACTATCGAAATAGAATTCTCAACAACTCATTCTTGATACTGTAATTGCCTAATATAGCTGTAAAGCTCTCATTAACCAATTCAGTTAGAAATTAATTTCTTAACTAATCAATTAACAAACTGACTATGCCAGCTCATCACTAATCCAGCTTAGCAATGATGAAGGTTCCTAACAATGTGATAACCTGATGTGACGTAGTGTTTTTGATTAAAATATAGCCATCCCTACCACCTCATGTAAATCCCACAAGACTCCCATTCACGGAGGGGAAGAAAGTAGTAATAGAAACAAGAATATGTTTACATGGTTTTCAAGTGTATAGAAAACTGAAGATAATTATTTTGATCTCATAATGAGAAGTACAGGCTTATCAAACTATAAATTGGTTTCAGGACCGGCTTCATTGAATCAAATTCAAACCCAGTTAACGTCTTGAAATAAAATTTTGTGTAATCATTGTGCGAGAGGAAAGAGGGTGCAGATGGAGATTTTTGAGTTTTGATATAGAAGTAAGTTGTGTTGTTGCGGAGAGACTAAGCCATTGCATGAATTAAATGGCTAAGATAGTTGAAAATGCAGAGAGCTGCATTAGAGTTACCCAAATTAAATATAGAAAATATGCTTGAATTAAATTTATACAATGAACCATATTGATGAGAATAATCATTTACCCATGAGAGACTCTTGATTCAATGAGTCTTTGATTCTAGATACTTTAGTACAACAATGTAACCAGTATAGGTACCATACCCTTAGCAATCTTGCTTATTCTTTTAACAAACTGCATATAAGAAGAAAGCATTTCCTCACAGGCATTAGTTACATGGAGGTAGCAGTTGGACATGGAGGAATAGCTATATCAGTAATGCCTTGTAACATCAACACAACAGACTTCATAGAAGGACGCAGAGCTGGTTCATCTTGTATACACCATAGTCCCACCTTAACCATGTTCTCCAACGTCTTTTTATCGACCTCTTCACCACCCACGAGCTTATGCAGCTCTCTACCGACAAAGCACTTGTAGACCCAAGTAGATAGAATTATCTCCTCTGCTCTAACATTGACGTCCATGTTCCGCCTGCAACATACAATTTCGAGAAGCACTATTCCGTAACTATAAACATCTGCCTTCACTGAGATTGGAGTGTTCTTTTGCCATTCTGGTGCCAAGTACCCTCTTGTCCCTCTGACCCCTGTGAAAGTCCTCGTTTGATCCGGCATCAACAATTTTGCAAGTCCAAAGTCAGAGATTTTAGCATTCCAAAATTCATCCATCAGAATGTTTTGAGGCTTTATGTCGCAATGGATGATAGGGGCCTTACACTCTTCATGTAGATAGAGGAGACCTCTTGCGACATCGAGTGCAATTGTTACTCTTTCACTCCAAGTAGGATGCCATTCAGTCCTGAAAAGGAGATCTGCAAGGGAGCCATTGCTCATATATTCATACACAAGGAGCCTTTTTGAGTCCTCAGCGGAGTAACCAAGCAATCGAACTAAGTTCTTGTGGTGAGTTCTTCCGATTGCTTGCATCTCCGCACGAAACTCCCTCTCACCATCTTCGACTAGCTTCTCTAATCTTTTCACTGCAATGATTTTTTTTCCTTTGTTTAAAGCCCCTTTGTAAACTGCTCCAAACGAGCCCTTTCCCAATTCTTCTTTGAACCCATTGGTAGCTCTTCTGAGCTCATTGTATGAAAAAGCTCTCAAAGTAAGTTCCTCATCAGCCAGCCCCAAATCACCATTAATCTCTGTCAGCCTTTCATACCGCAGAAGTCGGATTTTAAAAATGTAAAATGCAGAAACTGCAAGGGCGGCACATGAGAATATGATGAGAGTTAAAGTTAAAACAAGAATTTTCTCTATCACTTTCTTGTCTGTGGTAGTAACGACAGTGGTAATTGGATTCCCCGGGATGGGTAGATTAGTATTGTTTTGATTGTTGCTTATGGTACTACTCGTTATGTTGCCGACCTTGAAGACAGCTGTGGTAGTAGACTGCTCGAGATCCCTTCGGACATATCTGAGTGGTAAGTTTTGTTTGGCACAAGTATTACTCCAACTGTCGAAAACAGCTGCCCCGCAGTTGCAGTCTTCCAGGCAAGATCTGCTGCATTCTTCCACAGTCGACATTTGTGCTTGATCATAAGCAGCGTCTTCGAACACCATCTTCTCCATGGTGCTTATGTGATAACTTGATGTATTTTCTTTCCCATCTTTACACTCTACTTGAGTATAGTTTCTCAAGCAACCGTGTGTCATGTGATCGGAGTCAGCGTAATCAGATCCAGGAAGGCAAAGGCAGTTTGGTTTACTGTCGTAGAATGTGCAGTAGCTGTTAAGGCCACAGAAGCCTTTAACATCGCAAGGATTTTCCGGTTTCAACCACATAAGGGATGGCCGGAGTTTTCCAGTACTCTCATCATATTCATGAGAATACAACCGGAAATATCCATCCACGTCAACAGTCGCACGATATATGGTACCCTTTTTGTATTTGGTTTTGCACGATTCATCAGAATCTAAAACAGTGTCTTCTTCCCTACTAGTGCTGTTGATGAGAACTAGACGACCTGTAGCGTTAAGATAAAGTTGAAGCTTAGGATGGAAATAGGTTTCAGAGCTCCAATAAGAATCTGCACGTGAGTTTTCGCTGTTTGCCGGGTATAGAACCAGGTTTCCATCATCCTGCATGTTGAGATGGAACCGTCCTGTTGAGTGGTCATTTTCTGAAAAACTGGAGAATAGTTGACCTCCAATAGGCAGAATCTGACCTCCAAGGAGAGTATCAGTCGGATGATTAAAGCTCTCCCATATGACATCGAATCTTTTGTTATACAGAACAAAATTTCCAGAATCAAGCATGGAGGCAGAGGAAGCTGCAGAGTCTGTCGATGAATTAGTACTAGTAGTGACGATGATGAGGTTCTTTTGTTGTCCTCGGTCACTTAAAACAAGCTTTCCATAACTTGTTAACTGCAGCTTTGCATTTAAGGTCACTGGGGCATCGTCACGATTTGCTGTCCAAACAATTGTTTTTCCTTCTATTCCCACCAGCCAAATTCCGACAGCAAATCCATCTCCTTGCTGATGAAACCCAAAAGCGAAGTGGCCGGAAGAAGAAGGCCATGAGCTTGGGTAGTGAGTACTTTGGGGAGAAAGTGAAGAGCCTGGGTTTATTATTTGGCTAGAATGCTCTTGTGGAGCTCCGTCACCTGCTAGACAAAATACAGAAAGGAGGAAGACAACAATCTGAATATTGGAAGCCATACTGAAAGATGAAAAGCTTGGATTACTTTCACTCCTTAAATTAAGTTGATAGATATGAGAGAGAGAGAAATACGTGATTTAAGGTGTGTTGACTGACCAAGTCTTCTTGTTGAGTCAAATTAACCACAAATCAAAATCATATTTACCATGAAACAGAAGTATATTGCTTTATCAATTATCAGTATAATGTCAAAGTAAGGCAGCCTGCTCCTGGTGGCCCTATCCTGCCTTCTCCTCGTCCCCAGTGAATAAGTCTAAAGAGACTTTGGCATGGGAGGGAGTATTCAAACTTAGAACCTCTATATTATCACTTGACTAAGAGTTAGTTCGTAACAACTATGCCATATTCATCTACTTTAGTGGCAATTGGCTTTCCTGAGCAATTGTAATTACTACAATTTAGTGGAGAATTTTTTTATAACAATAAAAAGAAAAAAAAAAGAAAAAATCAATATTGACCAAAAAAAAAAACGAACAATTACAACAATTTACTGATTAAGAAATGCATGTATAGTGAAAAGTTTGCCCACTAATTTGGAGAAGAATTGTCACTGCATTGCACACTAGTAGTCAACAATGCATTATTTTTCCAGTTGTTGTGTACCCTACACTGCTCTTGTGGACTGTACATGTTCTTGATTTTGACTTTTTAAAGTTATTTCACATCATGGAAAGGAGCTTGTAATTGAAGCTCGAGGTCTTGTGTTTTAATCCCTCTCTCTAATATCACCCGACTCTGCATGACAAACGAGCACCCTAAAAAGTGTTTGACGAATACACCCAAAAAATATTTTCTCACTATAATCTTACAGCCTTCAAAAACAAGCTTCAATCTTATTAACATTATCCCTCCTTGTCCTACATCAATCTATACATGTAATTTATGCCATTTCCCCTAATTATAAAGTTCCTAGATATTGGGTTATGGATTAATTAAGGTTGGATCTACTTAAAATTAATCTACGAAGGCTCGAAATTATAACCAGTTTGAAGTCTAGAAACGTTTATACATGAACATTAATTTGACATTATTAAAACAAGAGAAACCTAAAAAAACTCTGGACATTTATTATTACATTTCAAAGACATACCAAATTAGAATATGGATGAGTAGCTACATCCATATATCGAGTCTAGAAATTCCGTAACATATCTTCATATGCATATCACTTAATGCGTAAAGCCTGATAAACATGGATTTGATTAATTAATCAAAAGTCAACAGGCTTGGGAAGCTCTGGAGATGGAGGTACTGGTATACCCGTTGTCCCTTCCAACATCAAGATTACGTTCTTCATGAGGGGACGCAAACCTGGGTCGTCCTGAACACACCACAGCCCCACTTTAATCATTCTCTCTAGTGTCTTCAAATCTACATTTTGATCATCATCTTCCACAAGCTTATATACTTCTCTGGCCTTAAAGCATTTATATGCCCAACTAGAAAGAATCATCTCATCTGGAGCTGAAACTTTTAACTCTATGTTTTTTCTGCAGCATACAGTCTCCAAAAGCACAATACCGAAACTATAGATGTCTGATTTTACTGATATCAGGGCGTTCTTCTGCCATTCTGGTGCCAAGTAAGTGCTTCTCTGTTCACCTCCAATAGATATCTTTGTTTCATCATTTGGGACTAGCAGCCTCGCCAAACCGAAATCAGAGATCTTGGCAGTCCAAGTATGATCCAGAAGTATGTTTTGGGGTTTCAAATTGCAGTGTATGATATGCACACCGCACTCTTCGTGTAAATAGAGCACTGCTTTAGCCACATCCAACACAATTCCTACTCTCTCCCTCCAGGAAGGGCGCACAGGCACGGCTTTATTAAAAAGAAGACGTGCAAGCGAGCCATTGCTCATGTATTCATATACAAGAAGCTTTCGGGAGCCTTCGATACAGAAACCAAGCAACTGAACCAAGTTTCTGTGATGAGTTCGTCCAATAGTAGTGATTTCAGCTTTGAATTCCCTCACTCCTTCTTCCACAACTTTCTCGAGCCTTTTAACCGCAACTACTTTGTTACTAGTTGACAGAGTTCCTTTGTAAACAGCTCCAAAAGTGCCCCTTCCTAGCTCGTCCTTAAAACCATGAGTTACGTCTTCAAGCTCAGAGTAAGAAAACGATTGTAAACTGAACAACTCTTCAGCCAATCCCACTTTGGTATGATCCAACAGCTTCTTGTACCTCTTGAGTCGGTAAACATATATGGTGAAACTGGAGACTGCAAAGGCAAAACATATACATGCAATAGAACCCAGACTCAAAGCAAGAATTACAATCAAGCCACGACTATTCTTGGTTTCATTTTTCACCAATGGCTGCAGATTGTGTGTTTCAGCTACCTTGATGAATCCTGTGGCTGATATACCTGGGCTTGTTCTACCATATCTAAGTGGTAGCTTGTATTTGTTGCAACTGCCATTAATATACAGCACTGCCTTACAACTACAGTCTTTCAGGCAAGAGTCGCTGCACACTTGTAGCTTCTCTAATCGCACCACTGAATAAGGATGGTCACCTGGCCATGACATATGGTCTATGGAAGCCATGTTGTACCGCAGTCTTTGGTCTTCATTGCCAGTGCAGCCATCGTAACCACCATTCTTATAGCAGCCCGGAAACTCATCATTGGGGTTGAAACCGGGATAACAATGACACTCAGTTTTGTTTGTCTTTCCAAATATGAGTGCACAGTAACTGTTGAAGCCACAGACACCTTTGACTTCACATTGGTCGTCCAAATTGGACCAAACAATCAACACTTTTGAGCTGCGGCTCATCACAGAGTAATTGTGCAAGTACAATCTGAAAATCCCTTCAGCTTCCAGCGTTGCACGGTAGATAATAGTTCTGTTATTGCGGGGGTCATATGAGCCATTTGCCAAGGGATGTGCAGAACCTGTACCAGTTTCAGGAAGCAAAACGAGAAACCCCCGTACTTCCAGACTGAGCGTCATGTCACCGTGAGTGTTGGAACTCCAATAAGAAGCTTCTGGAGTGGTGATATTTATCTGGTAAGAAACGAGGTTGCCATCAGTCTGCATCTGCAGCCAATATCGTCCACTAGAGTGGTTGTTTGAAGACACACTAGATACCAAATACATGCCAGAAGTCAGATTTTGACCTCCCAATATGGTATCAGTTGGGGAATCAAAGCTCTGCCAGATAACTTGAGAACGATGATCATAGACTACAAAGTTTCCATAATCAAGCATAGCAGCTGAACGTGCCTCTTTTGACAAATTTTCGGTAATGGGTACTTGTTTGCCTTGCTCAGTTTGAAGAAGCAGACCGTCTCTTGTTAGCAGTAGCATAGAGTTGGAGGAGACCAGCGGACCATCTCGCTGTGCAGTCCAGACGACTATGCTTTGCTCAGCCTTAGTCAGACTAAGATCATTAACAAGCTGTATCCCAACAGCGAAGCCGTTGCCTTGTGGATAGAAACCAAAGCCGAAGTGGCCAGAAGGTGAGAGCCATGAACTCAGGTTAGAATTCGGAGATAGAGAGGAACCCAATTTGATAACATTGGAGTGATTTCTTTCAGCTTTTACAATCGTTAAAGCACAGAGTAAGAACACAACTGCTGGTGCATAAGCCATGTGTTTGTGTGTGTGTGTGAGAGAGAGATAGAAAACCTCTCAAGGGTTTAATTTTTTGTTTTCGCATTACAATGCCAGGCCAATTTAACTCTATTTTCGTCCCTGCTGATCAGTTAGACTTGACTTACATGTTGTCTTGTCATTTACGGCAATTAGTGAGAGCAACTGGGTCCCACCGTGGAAATTTCCTCCAAATGAATAAATGTGCTGATCAGTTAGACTTGACTTACATGTTGTCTTGTCATTTACGGCAATTAGTGAGAGCAACGGGGTCCCACCATGGAAACTTCCTCCAAATGAATAAGAGGGATGCTAGCAACCTTCTCTCTAACCTTCTCTTTTGGATCTTCTCCCTTCTTCTAATGACAAGTGTCATTTTCCTTACACTTAAAATAATGTCATTAATGCATCACACAAGTTAGTTTTTGTTTTCCAAGTTTACCCTTTTAAAATGTATTGGCTTTTTATATTTCTTTCAATTTATTCAAATTTTGTTACAACTTCTTTAGCACATTGTTAAAAATTAAATAAGAAAAAAAAACATCATTTAAAAAAAAAAGTTTGTTTCATGATATTGTTATCATCTTTATTTTGTTTTTAACAAAACACACGTTCTCTTTTGGGGGAAAAAAAAAAAAAACACTTCAGTTTTTATTTTCTTATTTAATTTTTTAACAAGGTGGTAAGAAAGTTGTAAAAAAATTAGCTTGTTATTCAAAAAAATTAGTACATTTAAAAAGAGTAAACTTGGAAAACAAAAACTAGTTTGTATGATGCATTAATGACTGTTGAGGCCCAAAAAAATCCATGGATTGGGCCCAAGCAATTATCAGCCCGATACAATATTCCATAAGGAAAAAGAAAGGAAAAAGGGTCTACCACATGCAAGTTATAATCCACATGCCGTGCTAAATAAAAAAATTATTATGCTATGATTCGCGATAAAAAAAGAATATATATATGATTAACTCATGCTAAGATTAAAACGATTCTTCCCAAGGGCGATAAATTAAAATATGCCAAGCAACATGCCATGCCGTTATCTCGCATCCAACCACGCTACAAGCCTAGGTGGGCCCAAGCCACTCAAAAAACCCGGGGCTTGCTTGAGTGGGTTGTGGCATGGATGGTGATAAATCAACATGAGACCCATTGATGGACCGAGAAACGGAAAGTCTCGGGTTGCTTGGGAACCTCGAGACTCAAGCCCATTTCTTAGGCCCAAACATGTGGGTAAGCACAAGAGAGAAAAAATAGCCCAAAAGCCCAAGCAAAATAACCTAGCCAAGAGATAACCCAACCAAAAAATAATAAGCCCAAATCGAGAAGCCCAGCAAGCCCATTTGCTTAGAAA